AAGTTGTCTGGTATTATTGAATTACAAGTTTCCGGCGACGCTGTTTGCAGCATCGTGTTGCGCGCACACACGTACCCTTATCTCAACGAAACTTCCGTCCCGTTGTTCATTATCGTGACGCTTTCGACGATTCTCGATAACTGCTGTTACATGTTCCATCAGTCAGAGAATAGCAACGAATAGCAAAAGTATATTCGACCTGTATTTAATTGAAACGCTTCGGACAAGCGTGTCACTCTGTGATAAAGTCGCCTCGTCCGAGGAATTATGAGAAAATAGTGGAATGTAAACCGTAAAAGCGCGTTCGCTCTTTTCCTCGAATTGGAGCGCGCGGCGTAGCGTTGCAAGGGGGCCCGGCGACTCCTCGCGACGTCGTCTACGTTCCCAACGTGCACGGCACTGCCTATTGACGTCTGCAGTAGGCGTGGTTTCACTCTGGCCGATAGAGGGATATATTTACCGCACACACAACTTTTCTCTCTGGTGCGCGAACGGAGAGGCTCGCGTTATTCGATTAATAATGTGTATTTGCAGTGCGAGGTTTGATGCGACCGGTGCACGGCGCGAAACCGTGGCCACTCCTCGGCACAGGGGCTGATTCCTCCGGGCGCACGCACCTTTCCTGGCCGGGGGTGACTTTTTCTCTCTCCTCGAACCAACACCACGCAGTGCTCTCTTTCTCTCTCATCATCGTGTGTGTGCCTCCACGGGAAAAATCAACCGATTCGAGGTCCGTCGGTGCTCCAACCATAGTGGAAGTGTGCTCGCCGTGTCGCGATCCCTCTGACAGCCTTCTCCTCTATTTCTCCACCGACGTCAACATCTCTTCGTCGTCTTCTGCGTCGCGTCGTGGCCCGGTGCTGCCGTGCTCTTCTGCTGATCATCGTGGGACCGATATCACCTGTCTCCGTCGTCCTCGCGGACGACCCTTCTCTACCGAGGCTCTTTCAAAAACTTTCCCTTCTTATCACACCTTGAAGAATGGCGGGTAACGGCGTTCCGGTCTTATTGGTCACTGCGAACGTTGGCAGTATTTTCGAGGAGGTACGTAACACGTAGATTTCCCATTATTTTCCCTCTGGTTATCTTCTCTTCCACCCAATGCACGACCCTGAGGGAACGATCGATCGATCGCGCCTCGCGATTTACCTTCGAACTCGACCTACTTCTTCTTTCCTTCTTTCATCCTCTTTCCTTTCCTCTTTCTTTCTGGCAACCCGAGAGCAGCCGCTTGGCGCGTCTTTCGCATACGGGACCTATTCTCTTTCCTCTTACTCGTTCTACCTTCGTTCATCTTTCTTCCCCCTGGTTTTTTTTTTCTTTTTTTCCAAACCGTCTCACGGTGCCTCTTCTTCGAATGCGGTGTTACGTCTATAGACGAGTTTCCATAATTATACCGTTCTTATCGGCCGAATTACGCATTCCCGTTAAATCGATTGATAGGAACGATAACTTATCGTTCGCCAGCGCGAACGCTTTTTGGAGATTCGCTCGGTTCGAGGTTTCGCTGGTGAATCGGTGAAAGTAAAACGAAGCAGCGAAATATGATAAAGATACGCGATTCGTTTTTAAGCGAAGATATTTTTGTTTTTGTTTTTTTATCGATCGATAAGGATCGTAATTAGCAGACCGTTTCTTTCAAGATGAAAATTTCCCTTTTTCCAGCCTAGCGTGATGTTGAAAATTTGGACGGAGGAATTTTTATCTGTAAGTATTACAGATAAGATGCGCTGTCATTGCGTAAATATAACAGTTATTTACATTCATGGAGCAACGCTTTTCAGACTATACTGAGGCTGGAACCGAAATTTATTGCATTGCACTGCCAAGAAATAGGTGGAAAAAGTTATGAGCACAGTATGAGACAGGTGGAAGACTTTGTTAGGTAATGAACATTCCTTCCTTTTTTTTTATTCCTCTTTTTCCTAAGGTGTACTGCACAGAGATTATAATATTGTGTTAAGCATAAAAGGGGATTTCCTAGGAAATCTTGTTACGGCAAAGCTTCTTGAAAGGTTTCCATTGACAGAGGCTTTTAGTCTAACTGAATTAATGAAACAATAGCCAAGTACTAGTTTATCTAGCAATATTTGCACCAGTATTATTTTAACTAATTAACTTTGGTTAAATTGCCTCAGCATTATGTAGTAGGTGTGGAGAGAAGGCCTTTTTAAAACTGTACTAAGACAAATAGCTTTTCCCTGATCACAATATTGAATATAATTTAACGCATAAGTGGCAGAAAGGGATAAAAATAGATGATCACGCGTGGCTCTACAGTTGAGCGAGCCACTTCAAAAGATGAGCTTATCGAATGATACTCATAGGGGAGCAGTGTAAAAAAAAAAGTGTTGGAAAATATAACAGATCTTTCAGTTGCTATGAAAAGTTCAGCATCTCTATCGCTCTTGTAGAATATTCCTTTAACCTGACAGTGTTATTTCTTGTAGGTTACTAATGTCATCGGAGGAATTAAGGCTGTTTGACAAAATTAGAGTATTCTTAGACGAAGATTATTCCTCTGCTGAACATTTTACGGTATACGAATCGCTAATTATTCATAAAAATCACTGGATATACTTATACACAACTGTATTAACGTACAATTGTTTCAACAGGCACTTGGAAATTTTTACTTTGTGCACGAATCTTTGAAGGAAGTTTTATTATGGGACTTCCAAGGTACAGCGTGCTTTGTGTATTTTAAAATATCCGTTGGGACCATGCTTAGACTAATTTACTATTAAAATTTTAGAATGTACTTTTATACCGGTGAATGGAAGGGAGGTTCATTCTGGTAATATAGAGGCAGTCACGACCAAAGAAAAAGCAAAGTTCCCTCAGGAATTTTTTCCAGAATGCAAATGGTCCAGAAAAGGATTTCTGAGAACACGATGGAGTATTGGTGGAACTGTTTTTGATCTCATAAACATACACTTATTTCACGACGCCAGTAATTTCATTGCTATGGAAACAGTAAGCGATGTTACGATTAATTTAAAAGTAGCCTTGCTACTTGTCTCGATAATTTGTTCCAACGATTTCTTTTCAGTTTCCATCCGTATATAGTAAAACGCGTAGAAGAGCGCTCGAGCATACGTTAGATAGGTTTCATAACGATAAATATCCAAATGTACCATACTTTTTATTCGGAGACTTTAATTTTAGGACAGACACAGCTAGTGTAATCAAAGTAGGTATACCTGTATTACATGAAATTCGACAAGTATCGCATCCTCGTTCAAGTACAACCGACCAACTAAAAACTTTCTTCTTTTTCCTTTTAGAAACTTACAGAAGATACTCAAGAGAGAAGGTTATCGAATAAAGGAAGTATTTCAAAGCTGCAGTTTCACAATAAAGACGATGATCTCATATTAACATTAGGGAAAAAAGAATTTTCTCATTACGAGCATCAAAATGTTTTTATGCAAAATGGTGGACAATGGGTAAGTAAGTCCGTTAGCACGTAACGTTCTACAATGTTGCAAGAGCATAATGAAATTACCGATATTTATATAGCTACGTGAATATGACAGAGAGCTGGATGACTTCGACGGAAGATTATTGGAATTTCCGATTAAATTTGTACCCAGTTATCCGTTCGAGGAGGATATCAACGAGGGCTCGAATTATATGCAAACTAGGGTACCGGCTTGGTGCGATCGTGTTCTCCTGAGTCCTACAGCTAAATTGCTAGTCCAAGATGTATGAAATATTATACCTTCCAATTGTGTGTTTTGTTTTTTTTTCCAATGTAAATTGTGAAACTTCGAAAAATACGAAGAACACTTTGTTCTTATTCCAGGTATCGTCGCCGGATGCCGTGGATTATGGAATAATAGGTCCAACGACTTGTATGGGCGACCATAAGGTGAGACGATCTTTCTTTCTTTCTTTCGTTTAATGTGAAGGAAAAGGTAGTGGTTCGTTTTACTTATTATGCTGGGTGAATATATTTACACACTTCCTAGTTCTTATTCTGATGATTCATTCTTTTAATTATTATGGTGCAGCCTGTTTTTCTGGAGTTTCGAATGAATCTCTAAGCACTAAGGTACCTATCTATGAACTGTCTGCCTGTTCTTATCTTGGTTTTTCCATATATCCTCTACTTCTATTAGTATCTTGTTATATCCTGTATTTATAACTACATAGAGGCTTGTCAGTGTAGCATCACTTCTAAATTCCACTTTCTTAATGATTTTCAATTTCATAATTCTAGTTAGCTTTTTTGCTCTCATTATCATTCAGAGACGATTAACTATATATTTTACGTTGACATCGCAGGTTGACATACATATGCACATGATCAATTTCTTTCATGCATCTTCTCGACACACGATTAATCGATCAAATTAACTTGCAGAAAGAAAAACATTCTAGTATTATGAAATTCTAATCGAAGAGTATGTATCGTGCACACCATTGAAAACGAATATCAACTATATCCGAGTATCTTTCTGTCGACATTACGAACGTTCAGTACCATGTTGCTTAAACACTACCGTTACCAAAAAAAAAAAAAAAAAAAAAAAAAAAAAAAAAAAGACGTATCGTTTCCCTGAATTACATTAATGTTAGCTAGAATTTTTATAGAGTCCCAACCATATGAGGAATGTCCCTCCAATAATCTTCATAGAGATGCACGATAATACATAAGGATCGTCCATTTTTTCCCGTTTCCAGCCAGTCTACTTGAGGGCTAGTCTCATCTTGGACGAAGGTATGATAAACTGCTGCAGCTTGCCGAGTGCACCTGAGTTTTGCTTTCGAGTGCCGAACAATTACGTGGAATTGTTCTCCATGTTGCCTGATTACAGTAGTTGCGTTAGCGGACAGGTCAATTACACGGACCGTTCCTCTAATCTGTTGCACGCAGCACCTATTAAGCATGATCCTTATACCCCAGACAGTATGGACAGTCCAAGTCCAAACGCTATAATGACAGCCTCAACCGAGGTCCCTGACGTAGTAGACGTAGATAACATCAACAACGTGTCCACGTTGCACTTCACGCAAGCGTCTAACATAATCAGCAGACGTATGGATAGAGCAGTGTCGCCTGCATTGTTGAAGTCTAAGCTAGAATTAATCGTACGAAGTAAGAAAGAAGAGGACACGGATCAAGATTTCGCCGATATCAAAAGAAATCCCAGCGATTGTTGCTTACATTCTTGGTCGAACGCGGACGAGCGAGAATCGACGGTGAGAAGAAACAGATGTAACAGCGACGTGTCGTGGCAAAGGTCTCATCTTCTAACCGAGGCATGGGTTCAGGGTAAAGGACAACAGGCGTATCGTTCCTTTAGGGACTTCGTCAATAGATCATCGTTGGATTCGACACCGCCGAACGGTGTCGAAGGTCTCTCCTCGGACTTGATCATACCGAGGATATCGATCATAAACGCTAGCAATTTCGTGTCGAACGAGAGCTCCGTGTACTTACACGAGGATAAGTACAGCAATTACTCGGACAACAAGCTGACCACCTACTCGGACGGTCGAACCAAGAGTTTGAGCGGAGAGGCGTTTAGTTCTGGAAAGTCGGATGAGTTGAAGAAAACGGACGACGAGAACAACAGACTGAGTTCGAAGAAACTGGAGATCAACGAGAGCGTATATTTGCAGAATATAAGCGAGCTTATAACGAAACAGGACAAGGATACGTGTGCAATGATAGTCGGTACGAATCTGTTCGAGAAGGAGGATCAGGTGAACGAAGAAACAATGTTGGACGTTAAGGAGAAACGTTTGAACAAAGTTATAGATAGCTTGCAGAGTATAGAGGATAACAATAGTAAAAATCAACGTACACTCGCGGAGGATCCAGTTCTTGATAAGCCTAGCGTTAAGAGTAGAGTTACGAGTTTGGACAAATCTGCGGAGAACTTAGGCGAATACAACGCGGAACAGATAGGGGTTCATCTTGGAAGTATCGAGGCGGATGACAAGCTTGAGGTAGCGGAAAGTTTTGCTGCGACGATTTACAAAGAGGCGGAAATTTTGAAATGCGACAGAAGAGGTGAAACGATAGTCTCTCGACAGACTACGAGGAGCAATTCTGTGCAAAGTCAGGATACTAGCGATAATACAGGGGACGTTAGAATGAAATTAAAAGCGTTCGATGCGACGGAGAAGAGTAAGCAGCATAATATCGTGGAGAAGGAAAGTAAATGTGAAAAATGTTGTTGCATCGTGTCGTGAAAGAACATTTCTCGAGTTTTACCACATGTTCCTTATTTATTTTCCTTATATTATACGTACACGTAGCATATACATATACATATAGTCACCGTTCTCGATTTTCTAAAGAACGAATTCGAAGAAGTCAGGTTTGAGAACGATTTACTTGGTAACAAATTAAGTTAGGAAAAAAGCGGTATTTCTTCATAGTCATTTCAAAAAAAAAAAAATATCCCGCTTACGCTCTATCGAACAGCACCAATTTTTCCTATTGTACATGCATGTCGCAAGAGACGTTTCTATTTTTTCAAAGTGTCTTCTGCATGTGCACGATACTCTAACGTCGTCGTGAATTCTTTCACTTTCTTCTTTTTCTTTTTTTTTTTCCATCTCTTAGCATGTATTCGAACGATACAATTACGTATATTTTCACATTTTAGATGTGCAGTTGAATAAGCAGTATATCATTGTTACGTAGTGATATATCACGTTGTATAGAGTTTACGAAAATCGGACTATCCAGACGACTGTGTCGTTACGTTGTACCGAACAATACGTGCGTCGTATTAAAACAGTGTTACCATTATACATGTAATAGAGATTCGTAAAAAAACTCCACGGCGATCGCGCGTTATTTCCTATTCTGCTGGTTTGTCAGTTAAGTTTTCTAATTAAGCATGTACCAAGCGTCGTTCGTTCGAGATAATTGTTACATCTTCATTTTCGCGATCTTATTATTGACACAATGATATTTGTTCAAATTTTAATCGTTGACCGTCTCGATTTTTTTTTTTTTTTTTGGTTTTTTTCTCCACATCTCGTTCTACTGCTATCGCGAGAATTACATCCACAGTGTGCATTTTTAAACGAAAACGCGTACAAAAACGCGCGTGTGCCTTTGTATGCATCGCATCCTTGCCAAATTTACCGTATCCTATCATAGAATGTAAAAAAAGAAACGTGTGCGTAGTAACGTGTACACGTAGTCCATTACCTGGACTCGACTGCCAAAGTTAGTTTCTCGTTTTAGCGATAAGAAGGAAGATATTAAATTATAAATATTAAATATTAGTCAAATATTATTTCCTATATGCTACGTTTAGTTACCGATGCTTTTTCTTTGTTATCTCGTTTGGTTATGTAAGTTTCCTCGTGGATAAAACATATCTATATCGAGTCTTGCCAAAAGAAGGTTCAATTAATTATGAGAAATAGCATCGTGATGCTGGTAACGTTGATCGTTTCCTTATCCAAGGAGTAAACGATAAATTAAAAACGTTACATTCATAGGTACTTAGTAAAGAGGTCATTTGTAAAGTTCACTTTCCCAAACGGAACTTGATATCTTTTGAATCTGAGCGCAATAAAGATCGCAGATTCGAGCAATCGATTTATCCTGCATTTGTTCCCAATTCTACCGTGCTTACGATCCATAAGACACTTTACTAGTTGATTATCCATTTTTGCTCGTTTGTAAATATAAATTTATTTTTAATATAACCGAAAGTTGCTTTTTTTTTTTATTTATATCCTTTTATTTGCGTGGCTACGTGTTACTGTTACCTGCACGTTGTATCGCAGTGCACTTGAAATAATATGTTTTCTGTCCATCCACGTTTTTACAGTAAAGCAGATCGAGAAATGAAGGAACAAATTTGACAAAAATTTACTTTTGGAAAAATAAACACGTATCAATCGAACGGAGCAATAAAAATCGATCTATTCGAACCGTTGTCGTTTCCCGCCATTTCTATTTCTCGAAGCAAACTTCACGTTACTCCGCTAATTCAAAGTTTCACTTTAAAACCGTTAACGCGTATTTAAAATTTCATCCCCAAAGTGACACTTGAATACTTTTTCTCGAAAAGAATAATATACAGTTCCTACCTTGATCTGCTTTACTGGCATCTCTAGACAGTTGATCACTGATTCATTCCTGACTGCAGACGCGATGAACGAGGACTCCGAATCGGGTACGATGTCCAGCTTAAGCAGTCGTGAGATATTCAACAACAATAACAACAACCACAGCAACAACAATAATAACGGGGCGACCACCATCACAAGATACATTCACGTTAAACACGCGGGCTCGTCGGTTAAGATTTTTCGCGAGACAACCGTCTGATATCGAACTTGTTAAATCTACAATGTAAAATAACGTTTCACCAACTTCTCCCCTGCAATGCACTATGGGTATTTCAACGCTTTCGCGACACAGCAGCGACTACCGATATTCCCGCGCGAACTTTACGCCGCGTCACTTTTTGAAACTGTTCGAGAATCGAAATTGATTCGACTACATCGTCACTAACCTGAACACGGTCGCGCTCGATCGACAGTCGTAAGGTCGATCGATTTTTAAATTCTGCATACGTTCAGCCTGCGTAAATTCACGCGGTTTGAAAACAATAGTAGAAAGAGTGCACAGTTACGAATGAGTTGATACGCCGAGGAAGCAGACATGTGTCACGTATGACAGGTGAACGTGAACTGGCGCGAATTTTGCGCACGTGCATACATGAAAAGACCGCCCCGCTTGTTTTAGGTATGTTCACGCTAAATTTGATACGTTATTTGTGAACTAGTAGTAATTGAAAGTATACGTCCTGTTAAACCGTAACGTAACGATGATCGTAAATCTTATCGTGGAGGATTTCATGTTCTCGAGAGTGTATCGAAGAAATAGAGAAGTTAGAATATTACGATTTACCTTTCGAAGAGGATTGTTGATGTAACGAAACGTATCTATCGATACAGTCGCGCGTGTGTGACGATTATATCGTATTTTATTTGTTAAGTGTCTCGGTGTTCCTACACTACGTTCTTTCGAACAGTTCTTCCTACAAAGACTTATGGTCTTGCGATTAATTTGTATAATTAGAGACGGTCAGATATTGACGATATAGAGAAAGCGTTTCCATGGGAGATCGTTTGATGTGATATTATCGTGGTATACTCGTATACCTCACTTTGTTGTTGGTCTTCGTTATTAGAGAAATCGCGAGAAAGCCGGGAGAAGAGAATTACGCTACGATTGCTGCCAAAATCGATTCGATTCGACTTTTTGCGATGCGATTCAACCAACTTGGATCGATGTGCTTCTTCCTTTTCAGTTTCGTCGCAAAAAGTTTGTAAGAATCACACGCAGAACGGAATAATTACGTACGAAAATGAGAAAAACAATCTGTTCCCAGTTGTAACGTCGTGCGTAATAATTCTACTGCAACTTTGTAACGTGTACGTAATTTTCTATCGATAGATAGGCGTCGAGTTCCATTGATAAGAAACTCCTCCTGTCAGAGTATACTGTTGTCGTTCTCTTTTTTATTTATCGCTATAATGTTGTATAGATGTAAGCGTGTTAGTGTTGAAGAAAATGTTGGCAATTTCTGATGCAATTTATTCGAGGCACTCGATCCACGATAGCATTTTAATCCGATCCAATTGGACTAAATTTCCGAGTACATTCCATGAGCGTAACCACTAACGAGCAAACTCGAAGCTTAATGAAAAACCTGTTGGAAGGTACTCGAAGTCGTTAATATAGGTAATAAAAACTCTAGACGTGGTAGATGGTATGTATTTGCACGCAACATATCTGTACTCCTCTATCAACGTACGTACGATTAATGTAGACTCGTAATAAGTCCCTTTGCGGAAGTTTACTTCAGATCCTTCCACTGCCTCTGGTTAATATCATTGGCGAATTTGTATTTTTTGGTGTTATATATAGTTATATGCCCATGAATATAGGAAAGTCACGTGCTATTAAAGTATGATGGATTGCGTCCATTCGTTCGTTCGTTTCGTTTCGAACTTTCCATTATGCTAAACGCGATAACGCGAAAGTACCAATTGCATTGTTATAAGCTAAAAGAAATCACTTCTCGTTTTGCGCTTTCAATTACCGCCTTCAGTACAACAAAGCGTCGGATTAGTTATTTTATAAGAAAATTCACTATATTTCGGATGATTGTAATCGGTAAACTCGAAGGTGTCGAGACATTTACCTACGACTGCTTTTGAATCCGTTCCGTCTTACACAATTTCGCGTGTATAACGATAGATGGTAGAAGTAAGCGCGAATAGCCATAGGAAAAAAAGTCAAGAGTTTCGCGCTTACTTGACGAAAACAAAGTCCTATTGCTCGTTTTGTAGCACACAATCCATCATTTTCAGCCACAATTTCTTTCTAATTTTTTTTTTGTCGTGGCGATTGCTGTTCGAAATGTCTGTTTTCGAAGTGTATGTCAATAATGATGATCGTAAGCCATTCCTCGGGAAGTTAGCCGTAAGATAGTTGAGGTTAAAGTGTATAATTCGACGATTAGAAATTGTACGAAGTACCTGATCGGTTTGACCAAGATACAAAGTACGCTACAATTGCTTCTATATGTCTATTCTGAAGAATTTCTGGGTATTTCACGAGCTGGTGAAATCCTCTGTTAAACCCTCAATTAAATGACGTTGTATTTTACTCTGTGTAATACTCTAGGACTATGCGGAACGTCGAATTATACGGTTTATCTGTAACGCAATAATTTAACTCGGTGTACTTGACGCTTTCACCAGACTGGTTTTAGGATCTTCCGTGCGGGCAAGTTTTTCGAAAGAGATTTTTAAATAGATCGATATTTTAATTGCCACGTTGTCGAAGAACGTCGACGATTCCTGCTTTCCGGTAACTTTGTAGGTTACGAACTATTTAGTTCGAACGAAGAGAGAACTTTAATATAAAAAGGAAAAAATGAATCGGTAGTAAAATTAGGATAATAGAGGAAAAAGCTAAACTTGTTAGTTACCCGGCAAATTTGTAACAAAATTGAAATGTAAAATATACTATCGAAATCCTTGCTTGCTCTGATGTTTTACAAGATGTTTTAAGAGAAAACATTATTTCTTCCGTCTTACGACGGCAAGTAAACATTGTACTTTTATAAATATGAATGTACTTATATTTTGTACTGGCAGTACCTTGCAAAAATATAATATGTTAAACAATGAGATTATATGTATATGTATAATGTGTGTTACGAATAAACGTTATACAGTAGGATTACTTTAACTCGACAAATGCCCAATTTTTATTTACAAAGTTGAACGCTTGCATTCATTTCTTAAACCAGATGTACTTATATTACATTGTGACTTATTAAATCGTAAAATTGCTTTGCCGGACAATACATATTTTTCTCTAATTTAACATACCTTTGTATCTTTTTATCTGGTATCTTTTTTTTTTTGTAATTTCAAATTCTTTCAAATTCCTATCATCGTAAAACAACTAAAATAAAGTTGGCAATACTTGTGGCTATAGTGGTTAGCCGCTATGAATGTTCTGTGGCGTTTCTGCGATTGTTCTATGGTAGCGTGTAGTTTCTAAAAGCCGGGAAAATAATAAACATCGGTAACTACACGTGTAGTAACAATTTCTTATAAGTAGCTTTTCTTATTAAGTAAAACTAACTTAAATATGAGTAAGGCACATCCTCCTGAGCTTAAAAAGTAAGTGCAATAAATGATCTTTCTTAGTGTAAATGTGAATTATTGAAAATTATAGGAATTTAATATTTTTACGTGTTAAAAAATCTAACAAGATGCATTAACAAATTTCTTTTGTACTTTAGATACATGGATAAGAGGTTATCACGTAAGTAAGAAATGCGTAGTTTTGTATTTTATATTCCTTAGTATTTGTTTCTATTTTTTAATTCCTGCCACAATATCGATGCTGAAGTACTTATTTTTCGTAATGCAAAGAATGTCCTATTTTAAAACTATTAATAACGTTTATTTAATTATGAAACCGTGAATCTGTCAATACGTATAGGTTAAACGTGATAGGTTATGCGCGATGCTTTATACAAATGAAATGGTAATGTTGTAAATTATATACACGAATCGTATCATGTTCAGATCATTTGTATTTCTAGTCAAATTAAATGGTGGAAGACACGTTGTTGGGATTTTACGTGGGTTTGATCCATTTATGAACATGGTTATAGACGAAAGTATCGAAGAATGTAAAGATGGTACCAAAAACAACATTGGAATGGTGGTAAGTTAGACAGTAAGGCACTACCTTTGGAGAAATTGAATTTTTCTTATTTTAACTCGTATGTTTTATTGATTTAGGTAATACGTGGAAACAGTGTAATAATGTTAGAGGCTTTAGATAGGATATGAACTGAAACATGGACATTATGCAGAAATGTAATTTGTATTCCTAAAGAAATAATTAAATTACTTTTTCTACTATACATAGTGTTAATATTAAATTTATTTTCTACCTCTAGCTGTGTGAACTTCATTTTTTGAATAAATGATTTTCGTATTAAATTGTATGTTTTATTTTTTAAACCTTTTATATATAAATACATCAACAGTCGATATTTACGACATCTCTTGCTCGGAATATATCGTATATTTGATATAGCATTTTTCTGATTTCAATGATTTCAAAAATAATTTTTCAATTTATTTATCATTTCTAATACCTTTTCTTTATACAATCGAGATATTAAATTTTCTCACAGTTATATCGATTTTGTGCACCGACTTGTGAGTCTATGAATATTAAATACACACACAATCTTCAGTATGGATTATTTTTAAATAAGCATATTTAGTTTAACTACGTAACTGCACTAAAATTATATTTTTTATTGTCAGTTAAAGATGGTGAAACGAATTAAATAAATCGGCATCGTTCATAATCGACATTATTTTTTGTGAATCAATAGTGAACTTGTTTCTATTAGGAACATTAAAATTTAGAAGGCACGTAATATTTCATTCATTTTTCCTTATCAAGGAACTTTTGTTCACACTTTTGCAAAATTTTCTACTGTTTCCATTCCTTTGCCACCATTCTGTAAAATCTCGACATAGATTGCGACGTTGAAATTACATTCTGTAACAATATAATATGCCGAACTTCTTAACACAACCTAAGTATCCAATGCATTCGGTAGTAAAAATGTCTGGAATATTATTCCGATAAATGAAATACATATATCTAGGAGCGGGTACTGTCGTTATTATTGAAAAAAAAAAAAAAAAAAAAAAAAAAAAAAAAAAAAGTGATAAACAATAGATTAATTGCAAAAGGAACACATGATACATGAATTAATACTTTTAATTAAACAACTACTTAATCGAAAGTAAAAGGAACACAATATAACTTATATGTATCTGTACACCGAAAATGGCATTTAACTCTCTTTCCGTACAAAATATTTTAAAATTTGACATGAAATTTTCCCTGTCCTAAAATATACTCGCTATATTTTCACGGACTTTTTTGTGCGTTTTGAGATATGTGTAACCATATTTTCGTTCGCGTGAATAATTGTGGTGACATTGAAATATATAAAAAGTTGTTGGTGTGTTAAAAATTATACTAAATATGCAATTAAAGATAGTGAATTTTTACATTGTATGAAAAAAAAAAAAAACTCGTAGTGGAAAGATGGCCATATATCACAGTTTGAAAGATTTCAATAATATACAATTAACTTGAATTCATCTTCTTGTCTCTAATGTTTGTCAATTTTCGTAGTATTATTTGATCGAAAAATACAATGTTTGTTTATGTTGTACAATAAGTGCTCTTTCTTTAATTGTAATGAAAGTATTAAAATATTTGCATTGCATGATTTAAGAATAAATTTGAAGTATGTAACAAAGTGCCTTGTTTCTTTTCACTCTTTTTTTCTAAAATTTGGGGTGTACTATAATGACTGTTTGAAAATTAAAAACTACAAGGTATGACAATGCACTGTTAAAAAAGTATCAATATATCTACATTTGTATAATTCGCTATAAAATTAGCTAACAAGAGACTAACATTTGATTAACTGTAGTATTTAAGCACTTTTTACAAATTTAATCCACTCATTCAAGGTTTTTTGTAACAAATGTATTTGCAATTTAGATAATTGTTTGTTTGTTTAAATTTTAATAAGTTACTAACGTGGAATGTTTTATACTTCATGACACAGTTCTGTCTTAGTGACAATATCTTGATTAGGCAAACAAACATATCCATTTGTTTTGTTATCCTCTTTTTCTACTTCTTGATGTAGGTCAAGGTTTACCTTTGCCTCTATAACATTTGAAGGAACTTTAACTTTGCCTTCTACTGCTACTGTTTCGTGACATTTCTCTCTATGATGACTTAAGTGATCAACAGATGCATATATAACATTACAATCTAAACACTTACGGGAATTTTCAGTTGCTTGCTGGTCACATATGCTAGGAGTACTAGGAATACTTTCTTTTTTATGCTCCTCTAACATATGTGTTTTCAAATCATACCTGTTACTACACGTCTGATAACATATTTTACAGCAAAATCGTTTTTCACCCTCGTGCATGGCAACATGCATTTTGAAGTACCAATCTGTACTGAAACTTTTCAGGCAATAGTTACATTTGAGATCCTTTTTTTTAAGTTTCCGTTTTTTCTTTGATTTTTCTTTTTTCTTTTTCTGTGGTGTTGCTTCAATTTGTTCACTTGGGATGTCAACCTTTGGCACAGGTGTTGCTGGTTGAATAGGTTGGGGACTTGTTATGGTTAATGGTGGTACTGTATTGTCTGGCATGATACAAAACTTTGGTATACCCTGTATTTGGTGTAGTAAGGATGGTTGTGTTATCAAGTTAGTTATAGGTACAACACGTATAGGTGTTAACAATGGTTTAGGTTGAATGGGTGTTGTCACAATTTGCGACTGTGGCAAGAGTAAATCGTTGACTTGTATCTGGTGTGTATTAGATTGTGCTGTAAAGGTGACATATGGACTTTGAGGAACTGTACTGCTTGTTGTTATAAGTGGTCCATTTAAAGAATTGGATAAAGCTACTTGTATGGGAGCAGTTATACTATTTTCATTAAAACACTGTGTTTTGCCAAGGACTATACTTTGTTGTGGTACTACAATTGGGAAGGTAGGTAAAAATTTTCCAAAAACATTACGTCCATTATTAATTTGTAAAGTAGATTGATTTGTAGACACAGAAGTTATACTAATTGTGGGTTGCTGTTGTTGTTGTTGTTGTTGTTGTTGAGGAACTGATTTTGGAATAATAATTAATTCTTCATTATTTTTCAATGTTTCCATTGCAAGATTGTAGCCTGTAACCGGATCCATGTAATCATTTTTTTTTGCTTTAGAAGCTTCTATCATTTGAATTTCTCTTTCTCTCATCCTTTCTTTTAGTATTTGAGCACCGTTTATTTCGTTATGTCTGTATTCAGTCCTTCTTTTACAGTTCTTGTGATGCACTCGAGATCTTTGTGTTTTCAATGCAATACCACAAATATCACAAGCTGTCGACTGATTGCATCTGTTCAGTCTTATCACAGCTCTACGACAACGATCATGATCGATGCTTAACGCATCACACTTTGCATTTGCACAATGTTTGGAAACAGGTGCACTTATTTCATTGTCTTCTATGTTAAAGGCTAACATAGGTGATAATCCGTCATGATCCGCATATTGTTGTACCGCCACATCACATACAATGTTCTCGCAAGATTCATAATGACCGCAAGGTTTCTTTTCCTTTTTAATAGGCACTAGTGTAATTTCTGATTTACCTTGTTTCTTCGAAGGCAATAAATTTTCATCTTCTATGTTCCCTTCTTGATCTATCTGTAAGGGGATTACAGATAACTCTGATTGCTTTGGTTTACTTAAATTTGAACCTATATTATTTGTTTTGTTCACAGGGACATTTTTATTCGAGGCAGAACTTGTTTCTATTTTTATGGGAATCGCTTTAATGATAATATTCGGTTGATTGAACAACCTTTTCACCGGTTCCGATTGTAACACCTACAAATAAAGTACGATATGATAAAAGGAACGAGTACATCGTAAACGTGAAACTTACATCGGATATGGTAGTATTAAAATCCGTGGGACACATTCTAGTAGTATTTATCGGTTTACAAATAATATTCGGTAACGAGGCATGTGCCATTTTCACCATATAAAAATATAAAATTGTTATACCCAGCAAAGCATAATTTTCTTCTCGTATAACGCTTCTGTATAATATTAATTACAATACTATGCGACATACGTGTACACTTGATTTTGTAACGATAACACGACACTTTAAATAAATTACAGAACATTAATAGTCCTAACGATCTTACATATGAAATGTTACGTGAAACGCCGTCTAATATTCGGTGTATATGTAATTGTTAGGTTATCGGTTCTTTGACAAATCACAATAGCGTACTCTAACGTATTTAGGTAGGTACATAATGTTTGGGGTAGTTCCGCAACATTTGACAATGAAACGTTCATAGGTTTCTTATATCATTGCCACTGACAGGGATCAATAAACGCGTAATTTAACACACAAACGCGACTCCATAAAATTACGATCATGTTTAATCAAATGCTTCGCGGCGACACACAGAGTATACAGAAGAAATTCAATTTCTTTCGATAGAGCATAAATCTTGTCTTGCGGAAAAAGGATATTATGCACGAACAAGCGTAATAATAAAGAAAACAACACTCTCGAACATTCCCAAGACAGTGATGTTTACAATACTACAGTATAAAACGTATCGACACGAATTCATTCTTCATAGAATACGGTCTGCTCAAGCGAATGCTATTGGAGGGGCATAACACGAAGGGAAGATGTCTCCCATTCGACATAGCTCGTCGATTAACTACCTGGCGTTTATTTTTTTTTTTTTTTCTTTCTTTCAATATAATTCACGTACTTAACGTAGAGGTAACTTTTCATATTTTCTAGCCAAATAGTTGGATAATTAAACAACCGATCGAAGAATTCGAATAATCATTCATAACGTATGTACTATTGATGAACAGCGTTTCGCGCCTTTCGCATTAACGCGGTAAACAACGACGTAAATTTCATTGTTGTCATACTTGATCTTTTTGCTTACGTCTGTCGCGAGTGTCAATCGTGAGGTAGAATCAGATTATTCGAAATTGAAAATTCTGTAAATTCTGTAACGTTAACGACTGAATTTTCACTGGCATGCGTATTACGAAATTTTATAATTACATCAGAATCACCTACCTGTTTGCGGTTCCCGTCGTTAATGATAGTATAAAACGAGTTGCGTGGAATAAAGAATTTATTGTAACGTTACTATGTATTAGGAAATGTACAAGTTACGAGACAACGTTTAAGTAGTTACGATAGTGTACATCTTGGCCCTTTAACAAGTAGAACGTAACTTATCTTTGGTATTGAACGTACAATGCAACGATGTCTGTTAACTATGGTAGGCTGCAAATTGTATTTAACACGATTTCATCGAACAAAGTGAACTGTAATTATCGACATAACTATCTACGAACAAGTCGTGTAAATCCCTACAAATGATTATTTCATCGATTGCGTTTCGTTGGCCAAGGGATTCGGTCGAAAGGTATTTTTTGTTTCTTTTTCCTTTTTTCCGTTCCATTTCGTTTCGTTTTCGTAGTCGTATGCCGTGCAAAACGTCTGATTGTCTTTACACCGGATCCATACATACGACGTCATTCGCGTGGAAAGAAGAATAAAAGCGGAGAACGACTATAAACGATACGCGTAGAATGGATAATTGTTAGAAAAGCTTTATTGAACTTAAGTTGCGGTCTCTAAAATGCTTCCAAGACATTGAGACGTCTGTACATAGGAACTGTATAAATGAAATGATCGCTGAGCGACGTATTACAAGCGACGAACAATCTTATACACGAGAAAACTTACGCAAGCGAAAGTGATCGCTCTGTCGAAATGATAAATGCATAAATTACGTTACAACTGTACCGTTCAATAAAACCTTTTCTTCCTAGCTCTCTTTCTCTCTTATCTTATCTTTTACTTCTCCTTCCCCTTCTCTCTCTCTCTCTCTCTCTCTCTCTCCCTCTTCTTTTGGTACAGGCGAATTTTTTATACGCTTAATAACAACAGATCGTGACGAGACACCGTTTAAGAAGCTAAATGCTGAAGTCGCATGTATGCGTATTTTTTTTTCCTTTTTTTTTTTTTCGAAGGTAGTTGGAGAATTTATAAGTTAGCGAGCACGAAGGTACATTGTACAAAATGTCACTTACATCTATCATGTTATAAACATATTTACATCGATCAGTCGAATAAATATTTCTTCTTAGTCTTTGCGTGTCTAACGATGCTAAAAAATACAAAAAAGACGAAAGATTCAGAGCGGTTTGAACATCGGTGTTGGGAATTTCGTGACCTATTACAATATGCAACGAATCGGTGCGAAAAAAGCGTGATTTCTTTCTTTCAAACAAAATATCTCTACCGTTGTACTTTTTGTTTTAATCGTAGAAGAAACTCTCGTCAAATACACAGCGTTTAGAACTCTAGCAGACACTATCGTTTTTAAGCTCTCTTACACAATTTAGCTAAAACGCGTCGCTAAATTTCCGTTACTTGCGGCGGAATCTCGAAGGTACGATCGCGTTCAGGAAAAAACTGGACTTTATTAACACTTAGTCTTTGGAAAGAGCTACTGTTCCATAGAGTTTGTTTGTTTGTTTTTTTTGTTTTTTTTTTTCGTTTTTTTCTCTCCCGTGGTTTACTCGGATATGGTTCTTCCCTACGTTATTTCATCCCGAAACCAATATTTTCACCCCTTTTTCTTCTGAAAATGTAATTATCCTCGAGGGTCTCGTTAATTGTTCTCCACGTGATACGATAATATAAAATGATAGAGATTTGGTCGTATCTATTTAATCTGCTACTTATAATAATGTTAACGGTACGATGTTTCTGGTATTACCTTTCGTTACACGTACGTGTATATCACAGAGTTCAATTAATTTCTTAGGCGTTTCTCTTGCGGCGTCGGGCGAAACATTTTTTTGAAAATAATTCTTGCTTACTTCTGTCGTATCTCGGTTTTACAAAAATGCTCTTAAGATAAATATTCCGACGATCGTTAATTCTTCTCTCTCTCTCTCTCTCTCTCTCTCTCTCTCTCTCTCTCTCTCTCTCACCGTACAGTCCAGAGCGTTTACGGTCAATGGATAATCTCTACAAAAAATATTAGAATTTTTAAGTAACTAACTATTTACAGCGTATAATATTTTCTCGGCCGTTTTGCCCCTCACGGCTCTCATATACATACGTACAACCTAAACTTCAGTATTCTGACAGTAAATACAAGTTTCGACCAATTGATTTGTTCCCCGAACGAACAAGTTAATCATTGTACTATTATGACTCCACTTTCTTTCAGCTGGTCTTTAAATAAAATAAAATCGTAGAAACATCTCTCTCTTTCTCTCTCTCTCTCATTCTCTCACACGCGCTTGTTCATTCGAATGACCGATAGACTAGAATATTTCAAAGTAGATCCTATTCTCTCCCCTCGTCTAGTTCCAGCTTTATCGTTTATTTCTTAACACCTGCGGTCGTTTCAGTCGTTTTACCACCGACCGGCTTTTTATGGACGCTCGGTATCGTTCTCGACGCGTTCACATTCTTGTTCGCCTCGAATTTCTGCTGAAGGGAGGCCACGTTAGATTTACTACTCGCCGCTCTTTGCACTGGATTAGTCTTCGTATCGCCGCCGCTGCTCTTCGTCTCCGTTTTCTGTCCAGGCTTCGTTTGCGCGCCGCCTTTCGATGCTGCCGCATCCTTCGTCGACGTCGACAAGGATTTCGCCGCGTTACCGCCAGTCGGAGACTTCTTCTTCTGGTCCGCGAGGCTGGACGCTCCCTTGGACGCGATGCTCAACGGCTTGAACGCGGCGGTGGCGGATACAGCTTTCCCGGTGTTTCCTCCTCGCGTCAACGTGGTCGTCTTCTGTACGCTCTTCGGCTGAAAGCTACACTTTGGATTGTTATTACCAACAACGTCCGGCGATTTTGTACTGATTTGATTAGAATTGGAACAGCTCGACACTAGATCGGGACTGTTGAACTTTCCCCCGTTATCCTTAGGACTACAAGGCACAGTTTTCAGGGATAATCTCTCGTGAGAATCCTGCTTGTCTAGGCTACCGCCATTCGTATCTGCATCCGTGTTCGGCCCCTTGGAACCCTTTAAGCTACTGTCAGAATACTGTTTAGACCTTAACGCGTTGTCCAGAGCTTGCCTGGTGGCAGCTCTCGCGTCGTTCGTTTCCTTCGCACTCTTCCCTACGTTCGGTGGTGTTTTCGTTCTTCCAAGAGGCAGTTTGACAGGAGCAGGCTCCTTACTCTCTACCGTTTGTTCCTCGGTTTTCGAGGTGGCTACACCTCGTTGAATCGGTTTCGTCTTCACCGTTGCAAGTGGTTTACGCGAAGCTGCGTCTTCCGTGGGTTTCATGCCCAGCTCCTTGGATATCTCGTCGTTTATGTTGGGATTCTTCGAACCGAGGGACAGCACTTTAATTTTGCCGATGGGTTTCGCGTCGGCCACCTTCACCGGTTCCTGCTGCCGCGGCACGTTCAACGCGGAAGGATTTAGGTAACCGGAGCTGGTCGTCGAGCTGGACGAATTAAATTTTCCAGACACGGAATTGGAATAAATGCTACCTGGTGATTTGTAGTGATTCGAGTTGATGTAGGCGCCAAGTGAACTGTTCGAGCCCAAGTTCTCGGCGTTCTTCGACGCCTCCTCGTTCTCTTGGGCCTTTCTCGATAATGTCGCGGTCGAATATATGGAATCGAAGTTTCTATTCGATATCTCCGACACGATTTCCGACAACAGACCCATCGACTCCAGGCCTCCAGCATTGGCCTGCGTGGTCTCGACTCGTTTTGGTAACTTGTATTCGTTGTCAACCTGTTTCTCTACCTCCACGTTCTTTCTACCCTTCTCCGGAAGAGCTTCTTCTATCACCGCGTAAATATTATCGCTGGTGGGTGATTCCTCTGTTATTTTCGTCAAGGACGATTCGGCGACGAGATTCATGCAATCGTCGTAAGCGTTGTCTACAACTTTCTGCACACTTTTCACTTGGGGATTCTGGTATCCGGGCAGACCAGGGATCTTCCCAGTTTCGTTGATCTTGTCTGCCGTTGTCGATGCTGTAGGAGGTCCAGGAGGAGGCGCCGTGGGTCTGGTGCTCGCTGGGATGCTCGTAGGTCTCTTAACAGGCGTGGACTGCCGCATAGAACCGAAGGTCTGTATGGCTGGTCTCGGTGTAATCTTGCTGTCCCTCATACTCTGCGCACGCAACACCACGTTCTTCTTGTCGACGTCCGCTGCAGAGATCATGACCGGTATCGCTGGCGTTGGGATCTCGATTTCTTTCTGCGGAATAGGATTCGAGATCTCTAGATTTCTCAAGATCTCCTTGTCTATCACCTTGTTCGCCTTGTGATGATGCGTTCTAGGCAGAGAGTTGGTCTTCTCGTCCTTGTGCGATATCTGCAGAGCTCCCTTCACGATTCCCGAATTCGGTCTGAGTATCGAGGCGATTCTGTTCAAAGTGCTGCCCTTCTCCGACTTCTTCTCGTGCTCTGCCACCAGTACGTTGATCAGAGGCGTGCTGTTCGGCCTCTGAGGCTTCTGAGTGTCCAAAGAATTTGGCGGAGCCGGTGCCGGTCTCGTTGGACCGTCCACCATTGACTTGCCGGACACTTTAGCAGCTACCAGCTCGACGGAGGTGCACGTAGTAGCTGCCAGTACGGGACTGCTGATCAGAGGACGTGCCGTACATCCTGGATTCAACGGTGGCAGAGTCGGAGCGGCGGAAATCAGAGCCTCGTTGAAGCTGGACGTATTGTTGAGCAACGAGCTGCGAGACGGATTGCTCTTCGGGAGCGTCTTGATGTTCGTCTTAATAGCTACAGTCGGGATGGTGGGTGGAGGAGGTGCTGGTTTTATCGGCTCAGGGCTCTTGGGTTGATTCTTAATCGGGGTGATCGTGAAACCTTTGAACTGGCCGAACAAGTTATTGTTGTAACGCTCGTCGGTATCCGGTTTCGGCAACAAACTCGCGCACGCTGGATCCTGACTGAGACTAGAATCGATCGTTTCGATGTTACGAGGCAAGGGACTGGAACGATCGATCGTTTTGATGGACAGTCTGTTGTGGCCGCGATCGCTCCTGAAATTTTAAGCACAATTGTAAGCCAGGGGGAAACGGAGGCGTGTTGGAAGCAGGCTACGTGAAAACGCAGTGTCTGTTTTTCTCCAAGGACGGAGTTGATCCTCGAAGGTCCTTGTTTTTTCCCTCAGTGCATGCACTATATTTCCTCTCTTTTCTCTTTTGCGAAAGAATGCAAATACGCGGCAATTCCTCGCGCATACACAGAAATCGTTCGTACGCATGCAACAAAAAATAGGCGAGAAACTTGCGTGGGGGAAGTGTTAGTCAAAAATTAAAGTGTTAATGGCAAGCTCTCTGGAGAAAGGAAGTTTTTGATTACGGAAGAAAACTGTGTACACTTTGTGTGAAACGCTACTTTTATTCAATAAAACTTGTACAATTGATCTGTTCGAGCAATATCGACAAGGGATATTTTCTATTAAAAATATATCTGAATGATACGAACGATTGCTCGCTGGAAATAAAAGATAACCGAATGTATCGTTTAATACTGACTCGTCGACTCTGTTATAAGCGAGACGTTCAGTGAAAATCTTGAAATGCAAAAAGCCGACGAAAAAGAAACTCACGCATGCTCATGCTCGTGTCACGACAATTTCTATGCATGCTCTCTACGTAGAACGGTTCTCCGCTTCCCCAAATTGAACGTGTCCCGTCGTTAATTCACCGACACGCACACCAGGTATCCAGAAATCGTTCAGTTCTTGTCCACGTTCACGCGGTGTCCGCGGAGAACCGCTTCTCTTCTACTTAATATTATCACCCATTTCTATCGGTAATACTATCTGTCACATCACGTAATATGCATACCGCGTATAAAATATTCTACGATTATATTACACCACACACGTGTTTATCGTTACTTGAGCATGGAATAGTAAAAATAAACGAATAAATAAATCACCTATGCGCGAGATTCACGTCACAAGTATAAGTGCCGTTCGATACGTGCACTAGGGCAGGACTTTTTCTTACGGGTTGCGCGGTGCCCGGAGATTCTCTTTTCTTCTTCTCTACAGAAATCAAATTAAGTACATAACTCTGTTTTCCGTTTTTTTTCTTTTTAAGAAAGAAGCCCTGCACCGGAGTATTCAACTATTACAACTTACAAATCACAGTGTATATCTAAGATTCTTTTGGCAATGACAAGGATTAAAATTGGATCGACCATCACCGTTAATTACCAACCCGGTAAACGTCGTCGTAATGCAAAGGTCACAGGTGGAATAAAAAAGAGATCCTACTGTGACCTTCGCACTAGAAAGAGAGGAGAATTTCCTAAATCGTGAGAAGAGACGTTGTTGAAGAGAAAACAAGTGACAACCGACGGTAATTAAAAAGAAAGTTTCAAGCGAAGAGGCTTCGCGAAACGAGGACAGATCAGATCTTTGGTTTGAAAGTTTGGGCCGGAGTCGGTGGAGGTGGTGGCTTTTTGTTATAAAAGGGGGCAGGTGCTTTTATGCATGGCTTCTCGTCGTGCAACAAGGGGTCACCTGTTGTTGGCGCAACGCCAGAGCTACTACCCGGGCTTTCATTTAGATGTTCAAACTTTACTTCCGTCTTAAGCGTCAGCCCTTTGATATTCTTCGTGGGCTTTTTCTGCATCTGCTGAATACGCTCCGCTATTTTCAACCCTAATTCCGTTTTATGGGAATTTCTCCTTGCCTGCGAGTCAGCAGGCGGAAGTACGGCGGACCGATCGGAGTCAGAGTTGTCAGATTTTCTGTTACCGACGCTCTGCTCTATACTGCTAAGCAACATCGACTTTCTGTATTCGATGCTGTTGCTGCAGTTGATCACGTCTGGGTTAGTGGTCGATATCAGGTTGGTTTTAGTTATCTGAAGCTTCTCTTTCGGCGGAAGCTGGTTGCTGATCGTGAATATTCTGTTCGCGCTACTCGACGAGCTCTCTTGTCGCGGCGCGAAGAATATCGCCACCCTTTCGTAAAAGTTTTTACCGAGCGTGTGACTCGAGTTCCCCCTTCGAGCACCGCGCGACGTGAAAGCATGCGGTGTGCGTTTCTCTGTAACACGGTCGAGACTAGATACGTACGTTGATATCATGCCCTTCTTCCAGTACTGGCCAGGGTTTCTCACGTACCAAACGCCGAACAGGGATAGGGCGACCATTGGTACGATGCCCAGAAAGACAATGTACAGGGCCATTATGAAGTCGTTCCTCGCTGTAACAGATGTGCGACGCGTTCATCGATTAGTCTCTATCAATTGCGGCACGTCGATCAAATCGACCTAGATCCCGCGCAGATTCAATAAAATTAATTCACCGTTCGGATCTTCGGCGGGACCGCTGTCCTCGGAACCACCCACGCCAGGTTGGGTGCAATCAGGTGGCCGGAAGCCGTGATTGCAATGACAATGGCCCAGACTATTGCACACTCCGTTGCCCCCGCAGTTGTTCGGGCATGCCTTCCCTCCGGATACGGAAGCACGCAGATCGGCAACCGGCATACACTTCTGATTCACGCACATCTGGATCGACGACAGTGTTTTACATCAGCTGGTACAAACAGTTTTATTCGGCTGTTGCAAACGTTACCTTTCCGGGTGCGCATTTTGCACCGTCAGGACTGAGGCCAGGATCCACCTGGTTCAATCCCAAGTCCACGATCGCCGAACGACACGGTATAATTTTTCCTCCGTTGTTGATGAACGAGTGACTCAGAATAGCCACAGATTCCATGCCGAATTCTAGTCGTTCGTTGAGGTGTTTGCAGTGTAGCATCCCGCACAGGAGGTTCCTGAAATTCACAAAGAAATCGCGTCGTCGTTGGAAGCGAACAAGAAGAAAAAAGAACGATCAGAGAAGAGAGGAACGGTCTTACTCGTCGGTGCATTTGAAATAGCTAGAATCGACCCGATTGTAGCCGCAGTTCCCGTGTTTCGTGCCCCTGTTGTTCATCTCGTAGCACTGTGCGTCCGAGGATGTACCCGTGGCACCCCAAAGTAACTTGCACTGATCGTTGTGAGTTCTACAAGAGCCGTGGTAGCAGAACGCTTTACCCATGTTGCACGATTCTCCGTCCATCTTGAACACGTCGACCGGACAGTATTCGCTCTGACCGGTGCAATACTCGGGTAGATCGCACTCGTGCTCGGCACTTCTGCACTCCGTTCCCGCTGCCTTCGGCCTGCAAGTCTTCAAATCGCAGCACTCCCCGGTGGCGCAGCTCGCGTTGCTGTGTAACATGCAGGTGGTGACGTTGCAGCAGGGATTGTCGCAGTTCTCCTTCAAGCCGCAATCGCACTGTTCGCCAGATTCCACGAACCCGTTACCGCAGATCGGGCTGTCGAACAGCTTCTGCGGTTTGTTCCTCAAACAATAGTCCATGCCGTGTTCGAAGGCCAGAGCGAGATGCTCCAGGGAACAGGTGGACCATTGGGTCGGTCCCGACGAGCCGCTCGACGACGCCATGATGCATCTGTAATCAGACGCGATCGAGCGTGTTTAGGCGAAACGGCGATCGCGGTAATCGCTGCCCGGGTTGATCGGGGGCTCTGTTTCACAAAGGGACTCTGTCTCGCGTTCGAACATAGCACGAGTTACATATAGGTAGAAAGTAACAGAGGAGGAGACTAACTTTTCCTCGGGACACAGGCAATCAGCCGAGTCGTGTTCCATCCCGAAATTGTGACCCATTTCGTGAGCCACAGTGGCAGCCACTAATCCAACGACGTTCGAGTGATCCATCGAGACGCCGCCGGAGAACTCGTATGTACATATTGGTCCCTTAAGCGCCTTCCCAACGACGCCTCCTTCGAAGGTGATTCGTCTGCAAGTTACAACCACGCTATCCAGCTGCTCTCCGACGATACTTTCGTTTCCGACTTACGTCAACAGCTGGGCGTTATCGTTCGGCATGTCCTGGACCAACTTCTCCCTTCTGTATCGCAGGAAATTCGAGAGGGTTGTATCTCCGTTAGGAGACAGCGTTATTTCGTCCGTGTCGGACCAAACTTGCACCCCGACTAACGCTATGAATATATTCAACGGCATGTACAGCTGAAACAGGACAGATTCGAGATTGAATTGGAGATGGACCGTACGGATCTTAAGAGGATACTAACTGCGTTGATGATATTGGCGATATCCTTGCAGTGCTGGTAGACCTTGTCCAGATTCTCGTCCAGAGCTACGTACTCCTTCTTGTCGATCACGAGGACCAATTCAACGTACCGCGAATGCCTGTTCGCGTTGTAAGGACCTCTGATCACCTCTGTCGCCCTTTTATGCTACACGAGGAAAGAAAAGTGTTCCACTCTGATTCGGTCGTTTCGGTTTGTGCAGGGGGGGATTGTAAAAGGAAGGTAGAAGAGAAGAAGCGTACCCTCGTGGCTCTGTTGACAATTCCGCTGTGCTCACGGTCGAGAACATGGTGCGCCGTTCCTTCGTAACCTGCGTGGAACAAAAAACCAAGATCATCGTCCCTCCGGTCTCGGATTCCCGGTAAAGTTAAGGACAAAGAGTGGAGGGAGCTCGCTCCCACATTCGTTAAGACCGTTAAGGAGAGACCAGTTTCCGCGGTCCTCCTCCGGGGCCAGGAAAGGAGCGCGTGCGCTACAACTAAGAATAAGTACAGCAGCAGCTCTAGAATCGCAACCCATCCCGATCTAACAGAGAGAGAGAGAGAGAGAGCTGTGTAGCAAGGACGATAAGAACGTAAGGAGGGTATGGACGAGCTCTCCCGAGTTCGTCGATGAAATTCCAGATATACCACGCTCGTCAATTTCCGGACCTCTTGTAGGATTTCTAACGTAGCAGTAGGAAGAAACGCGCGAGGAGTCCTCGTCGCTTCTTCTTGCGAGGATAGTTACCGCAAGTGTGATTGGCGACTAGATCGCTCTGTCTGTAGACGTAATGATCCGAGTCCAAGGATTCTCCTTCTGGATGAATGTGGTGAAGATTCTCACCGTCGAACACCACGCCGCGAAGTCCTCTACAAGTGGACAACGCTACCCAGGAGCCGGGAACGTCTCGAATGCTGCCCTGGTAGTGGCAGAGTTCCTGTCGAATTTCAATCAAGCGGTCCCCTTTAATTCCAATTCTAAGCTACGTTCTATCGGGTGTGCGGGAGAAATTGAAGGACGACGCGGAAGGTAGGGAAACTCGAGAATGAATTTTCCCCGGCTTATCCCGGATTCTCGGACGCGCGGTGTTCAGCCGTGCGTCCGACCGGTACAAATATAGTTGGCCCAGATTCTCCTGGGCCAGCAATTTTTCCCCCTATTCCTTTTGCTCCTCTTCCCGTCCGTGGCAAGGATTCACGGTACGCGCCGGTTCGAAATGCAAGCGTCACCACGGCGAAGTGATTTATCGCTCGATTATCGCTCTTCCCTCGATTCCACGAAAAGTAGGAGGTTTCCCCCGAATTCTGCCTAGATTTCAGACTTTTCTTTTCTTTTCTCGCTGGAGTTGCGAGAAAGAAGTTAGATTCGCAGAATTTCGCCCATTTAAACGAACGAAATTAGCTCGCCCGTTTAGCCGCGACAGCCCGAGCAAATGAACTCGAACAGGGAGGAGAGACAGAGAGACGGCGAGTGGACGTGCCAATTCGTTTATTCAATTGCGCGAAATGTGGAACCGACGACAACAGAGCGCAACGAACTCGACCGCTCGATAGAAACACGTCCGACCGATGCTTTATGCCTGCCCATTAACCGTAAATAACGCCACACGCGAGAATTTATGTCGGCGCTAGGTGTTTGAATTGTTAAAAAATGTCCAGCACCATTTTTCTTTCTTTCCACATCCGGCACACCTCGTTATTCCCCCCCGCCCCTCTCTGTGATTCACGATCGCCGAAGAGGAAAACTGCCAGAAATATGGATCTCTTCTCCGTCGTATTACAGCGTTAAACGGGAAGAAGACGGCTCCCTGTCAGCTCAGGTTGGCTAAAACAGGGAGCGGTTGAATAAAGGTGAAGCGTGACCAATGCTCGACCTCGGTTACGCCGCCGCGTCAACGTTATTTAAGAGTGATCGATACTCTCGAAACGTCCATGTCCGTCTATACCGGGCAGCCTGTCCTGCACGCTCGGACAATGAGTAACCGTGTTATTGATTCCGGCGTTCTTTGCACCTGCACCAGTACCAGTACCTGGTCGACCAATTTTCTATCTCCGCCGATCGACGAAACATTCGAGAAATTCCATCTACGTCTGCTACTTACGACTTTCGACGGGGTGTGCACTTTATACGTGCCAAGATGCTGATGACGCTGCTGATAGCCAGTAGGAATCAGATCGGTGTTCAACCTAAGGTCCAACACTCGTTTCACCCCGTCCAACTCGAAGCCCACAGTCAGCACGTCCGCGTGCTCGATATCCTGAAAGCAGAAAGCGAACAAGAGGTTATCGTGATCGCGGTTAGGCGTAATCGGCGTTCGAATGCATTATAATCGTGTCGAGGCTCGACATTGTGCACCTGTTGCGCGTCGTCGTTGGAGAGAACACCGCGATAAAAGAAGAAACAAGTCGCGATCGCGTGGAAATCGAATTCGGCCAGTTTACCTACCTGGAAAATACTTTCTCGCCCGTTAACGATCCGACGATAGAAAGCTATTATTCGGTGTTCCATCCGTTGCCTCGCTTTCTAATAATTCTCGAACCGCGCTTTCCAGCCGCCTCGAAATTGATCGAATTTAAACCGGGAGAGGGGCACGGGGGCGGGGGGAGAAACACGATGGATTTTCCACCGCGTACTCGTTTTTCGCGCATCAACGATTCGTTTGTTCACGATCGACTCTCGACTGGCGACAAGCAGTTGGAAAATCGACCGTTTAAAAATTTATATTCTCCCTCGATCAACACTGCGGCGGAGGCTGGGACTCTGGCCGATTCTCGTCGAGTATTTTTTCGACGAGCGTATATACAAGCGCGTGCCAGGCCACCCAAATGAATTTACGAATCTCGTTTGCGCCCTCTCCTGTTAGCCCTCCCGCGCCCAAGCCCCGCACAGCCCACCCAATGTTTAATTCATAGGGGATACGTTCGCTCTTCCCGAGCAGGAAATATCGCCTAGCCCGCCGGCCACGTATCCAAGGGACACCACGGACCAGAAACAGTCGCAATGTCCTACGAAACAGACAATGGACGTTTCTTGGCGCGACAAAAAAATTTCAATTCCCCTTTGTCGAGAGTCTTCGGGCCTCGAGAATCTCTTCTCCTCGCGAACAGGAGAGACACAGAGAGGAGATTGGTGTGGTACACGATGAAAATCTCTTTCACAGGTCATGCGTTTCAGATATTCCGTGCACGGCGAGAGGATGCAGCCTGGATCGCCGATAGATGGATCCACGGAATTTCTATCATCGCCGACGGACAGTTAGCAATTCATACCTGGCCGTTTGCCAATCCGGCAAACGTTTCTCGATATTCCAGTTGCCGTTCTGCCATGACCCGTGCGCTCCCTCCTTCTATGTCGATATTGGCCAACTAATATACCGAGGGGTCAGGGTTCTTCCCTCCCTCTTTTCTTTCATCCACCGGGGGAAACCTAACGCGGTGCTCGAATCGATTCTAACCTTCTTGTTTTACAAGGTTTCCCCTCTTCAAGAGGGTTACTCCAAAAAATGTTTTACTCTTATTTTCGTTTCTCGCTCAAGTATCGGGTGAGATAAAATTCCGGGTCGTTCGACGCGCTTCCAATTCTTGATTACCCGTTCGAGCGGTAATAGGCATGACGAAGGGAGGACGTTTCTCTGTTTATCGATCGGAGGCTTTCGGCAACGTGGTTTAAGCGCGGAGCAAGCGCTCGAGTTTCCCCCGAAATTCGGTTACCAGTACATGTCACGGGGCAGAGAGACGGGTACCAGAGGCTCGTTAAGGCGAGAGATTTCGAATAAACTGCCGTAAAAGTCATCCTCGTGTCTCGTTCACCGAGCCATTGTCGTCGAGCTCCAGCTTCCCAACCAAATGTGCTCCACGATTGCGTTCTCGTTTGCCGTGGGACACGGGAAGCCTCGTGAGCGATTGTTTTTCGCTCCAGCCGATAGCTAACTGGTTAGGTTGATCGGCTAATGGGAGTTCCAGATGGGTATTAATATCGTAGAATCGAGGCGGTTTATACCGAATTTTATGGAGGACAGCGATCGATCGAAGCGCAATTTGCAGCGTCAGCGGCACCTGGTCATTTAAATACATATGCTAACGACGCGTGGAGCTTGACTCGCTTGTTCGATTCCTTATCCATTTTTCCTCATGTCCACTTAGCCGATACCGCAAAAGCAACATACGCGCCATAGGCAACGGATTTATCGCGTTAATTTCGAAATAAACACCTGGCTGTGCGCGTTCGCAATTACCGTGGCCAATCTGTCTGCGGTTGCCGGATCGGTTAAACGCGGCCGAATAGAGGACAGAAATAGGGGAAGAACGAGAGAGGAGATTAACGTTACCATTAACGAAAATAACGCGAATCGTGGCCCGTGGTCGCTAATTGTTACGGCGATAAGCCACGCGAAAGACGCGTTAATTATTCGAACTGACGGAGGCTGCTTCTTGGAAATTCGTGCGGTTAACGAGCTCGTGGCGAGACGGGAGCACAATGTAGGTACGGCAACGTACAGAGAGGCTCTTTGTGGCTGCTGTGGATAGGATGAAAGGCATCTTTTAATCTGGCCTAACGCGACTAGCTGCCAGAGAAACTGCCGTTTCCGTGTCCTAGACGCTTCTGATAGCGCGAGCAAAGAGACCGCCGGCGTCGTTTCTGCAACCGATTAACGCAATCTAACGGGCAAATTTTAGCGAGTCCCTGTGAAATTTTTGTAGAATACTTTTCGAAAAGAGGGTTTAAGGGACGAAATAGTTGGATCTATACTTGAGAATTTCAAATGGCAGCAATTAAACGAAGAAATAAGTAACAGTTACGTCGATTAACTGCGAAATGCGCACATTTGCTTTAGAGAGCGCACACATTTTCCCATCGATGTATGTAAGTAGCAAATACACCTTGCTAGGCGAAAAGGATGTTTAGAACTACTCTGTTTCCCTTTGTGGCCGGAAACACGCGAACCGGATAAAGGGAACCTGTGCACGATCTCTCTTTACTCTGCTTTTCCGCCCTTTTCCCCTTCCTTCCCGTTGCGTTACGTCGTCCAACCTCCGCCTCGTGTAAAGCGAAGCCGCGGAGTGTTTTAACCGGAGAGCATCCTTTGCCACGATTTATCGATCATACAGATAGTATATAGAGCTTACTTCGTTTCGACCCTCCTCGAGTTCATCCCCTTTCGTCTCCACAAGAGGGAAACTTCTTCTTTTCGTTGATTAATACTTCTGGTACACGTGACGTACTCTCGGCGCTGTCAATCGACGCGAGTGCTGATTATACGTGGCGAGATATTGTTACAGCGAAAGTAGGATAAGAGCCGTGGCTCGAGTTTCTCGATTACGTTGCACCACATAACCACTCGAGCATTTGGGTATTTTCCCTTTGGAATTCGCGGTGGAAGAAAGGAGAAGAAAAAGGAGGAGTCGCGAGTTCGTAATGGTATGGTAAGTGACCCTACACAGCAGGAAATTAGATTCGTCGTTATAGCGGACAGACGCGGTGATAACGGTCATTCTTCCCCGTGATAACCAGAAACGAGGTCAATTGCCTTACTTCGTTGACGCCGCGCGAGAGAGAGATCGTGGTTGCTTGGAGAACGTAGCACAGCGGCAGAGTAGGCAACGAAACGGAACGACTGCTCGCCCGTGGCTGTAGAACGAAATCGAGGGAGAATTAGCGGACGTCGGGAGAAGTGGCTCGAGAGCGTATCTGCGTGAACGCAGCAGCGGGCTTAGAATGCGGAACGTCGGATAGTCGACGGGTGCAACAATTTCAATGCAAATGTCGCGTTACGCCGCGAATACGAAATCCAGGATCGCGGTATAAACTGTGACCTACCTGTCGAGAGGGCGGCGGAGAAATTTCCTCGACAATCTCGGGCATATTTTATGAAAAGCGAATGGCGGTACATGCTAAACTACCGACAACACGGTTTTCCCTCCTCCCCTGCTTTTCGCCACTGTTTCGCCGAACCGTAAATCTACGTTTCGAAAAAACTGCCAGGTTTCACTCTTCCACAGACCGTCGCGCAGATGTTCCGAGGAAGTGTTTTCTACCGGGCTATTTTTACGCCGATGAAACATCTCTTAACGCGAGAGAGATGCGTGCGTCGAGAGGAAAATAAACGAACCGTCGCCGTTGTATTTCAGCCTGCGGACAAAATCGGCAGTTCCAGGATTAAGCCGTTTCAAAGTGGGCACGACGCAAAAAAAAAAAAAAAAAAAAAAAAAAAGAAAAAAACGGGGGAAAGCGAGTTAGACGAACGCGATTTCGTCGCGCCTCCCGTCAAGCTATAATACGCGCGGCTCAGGGTAAACATAAGCGATAGAAGCGAGCGTCTAGCAAAGTTTAGCGGATGTTTCAACAACCGAGGGAGAGAGTTGCTTGCACCTTGCTGTTTGTTGCCCCGTTCGGAAACATTAGCATAGACTGGATAAATAAATAGCGCGGTGCTATCGAACAGAGTAGACTCTGTTGGCTGTACCGTGTGTACACTTGAAATTGGTTTAGAGCAGGGTCTGCGAAGTGAGCGGTCAATGGAAAGAGATCCAAGATTTGGAGAACGCTTTAAGCGCATCGAGTGTATCGCGAGGAAGAAAGGAGAAGTTTGGCAGTAGTTCCGGCTTCTCCAAGTGATTGCCGATTCGTTAATCTTCCGATGGAACATCTCCTTGTTAACGAAGCAACTCGAAAGCAACGAACTTACGTTTTCTTTGGTCGACGAGATCTGCCGTTTGCTTCTGCCGTGATAGACCCGCGGTCTGACTAGCGTGTGTCTGCTGAAATCTGGAGACGGTCCTGCAACAGAAACGAACGTAGAAAATCATTAGAGAAGTCGCACACTCTGTCCCCTTTGTTCAGCACGGTTTGCGCATGCTTCGACGAGCGTCGTCGGCGCTGTTCGAAGGGAAAATCGGCGGCCTGTAAATCCCGCGGGGGCCTTTTTCTTCCCGAAATTCGCGGGCGGAAAACTCGTGGAACAAGCATCGTTTCCCGCGCGTCGATGCTGCTAGAAAGAGAGAGAGAGAGAGAGAGAGAGAGAGAGGTGTCCTTGACATCGAGGCGAACAATAAGCAAGCACGCGGCGCCGCCTCGAGGGTCTCTCCCGTCCAATTTTCCCAAACGCGACCAACTCCGCCGCTTCCGTTTTTCCAACTATCGACCGATCCCCAACCTTCCACTCGACAAACTTTTCGGATACGAATTGTTCAAAGGAACAACGTTTCGTTCCTGCATATTTTCGAATCGTGCTTGCAACTTTGATCGTGCCCGCGTTAAAAATAGTCTTCCTCTTTAAACGGAATCGCGGATCCCGTGTAGAGTATACCCGGGGCTAAAAATACTCTCGCAAAGCATTGATTAGGGGGAATCGTGCTCGCCGGCCAAGTATTCGGCCTTGATCGAGCTCGTCTGCACTCTCGATTCCTCTCGATCGGAGCGAATCTCCTCGCTCGAGGGGTCGCGAAAATTTGCGTTTCAAAGCGGCTCAGCTGGGCTTGGCTCTCGCGATTCGTCATTCTGTCGAGTACACGCGCTCGAGAGCGTGGGCTGTCCAGGCGTAGGTATTAAACGAACTGTAATTACCGGCTGGCCTTTCGCCTGTTTCACGCCACGCGTTCAGAGAGCACGAAAGGGCTGAAACACGTTCGAAAATCTTGTCCCCGTGTCACATTTCAATGGGGAATTCTCGGGGAAGAATGGAAAACGCTCGGCGAATCTCGCCGTTGGAAAGTTTCCACGCTGGATGACTGGAATTTATTAAGGGATTCAGTTACCTCGGATTCAACCGAGCAGCCGTAATTTGCGTCCTCGCGTGTTCTTCAACCCGAGACGATAGATACCTCATAACGACGTGTTAAAGGTAAACTAAATACGATGGAAAATTACTTTGTACGGGATAGGTAGGCTATATAGGTGTTTGAACGTCGCCCAGATGCGTCCAACTGTGAAAGAGTTAAAGTAAGGAAGATTGCAAGCGATCAAGTTCGAAATCGATGTAACGAGGACCTGCAGCCAGCGTGTAGACATCGATTGGAAAAGAAGTAGGTCATAGGAGAATTTTGATTGGCCGTTTAAAAGCACAGTAGCGTCGAGGCGGTGCCGCGAGCGGAATCGTCGAAACGCGTGCACATGTGCGCCCGTTTATGGGAACGAGATTGACGTCAACGGTGACCAAGGGAAAAGAGATCCTCTCGCAAAAAGATGGGCGCCAAATGTAGTAAGCGAGCGCAAGTGTCCCTTCGATGGGCCGCCAACCACCGACAACTTCCATCTCCTGACGCAAAAGTCGAGACGACTTTTTCCCAAACCTGTGTACGGCGAAGCTGGCCAGAGGGATGATTAACAATCCGGTAAAATGAGAATTCCGCACATCAGTCGAATAGCATAATAAACGTTCTCGCGTCGTTGATAATTATACGAGAGCACGCGCGACGCGACGGATTGGCCACCGTGGTCGCTTGTTTGCAGATGTCCACTGTAACGCACCGGCCCGTGATGAATATTAAATTCTGACTGGCAGCCGTATGGCAAATATTGCCAGGCCTGCGGCTGCAATTAAATTCAAATAACGGGAATTACGGAGTAACGCGGCCTGAAAATCATCGTGTCGCAGCACGCGAGTTTTGAAACGCCGTAAACGATTTTCCGCTCTGGCCAAGTCCCGGTGGATCATCAGTCGTCATTTGCATCTTGGACGTTCACATTTGGCACACGGTTGCCGACAGATTTCACGGTAGATCTACGGCCTAATTGGCTTCCCGATTGTTTAACGGATTTAAAGCTATCCACCGAGCCGATACTGTGTTCGATTCGTCGTTAATTTCCTGTTGCAGCTCCGACAGGAAATCAGAACCGGTTAGACGGTCGTATTCCTCCCCGTGGAGTCGCGAATTCTAACGACTCGATAATCGTCCGGGTGAATCATCGCGTCTGCCTGTTCGGTGCGCCTCTGCGCTTTCTCGCTGTTACGCGATAATATTCCAGACAAAACGATACCACTGTAAAAGGTATGAAACAGCCATAAGCCGGAGGGTAATGAGCGACTTTGTCGTTAAAGGCGTTCCTCCGGTGGACGTGAATGCGGCGTTACGACGCGTCGTTACTCTTCGTCCTCCGGGCGAAATTCGGGTTAACGACAGAGCTATCTAGCGGAGGGAATAAAGCGAAACTGATACGAGAAAGTAGCGACGGTTGTTTCGTACGAGTTGACCGGGCGAGAAACGGTCGATCGAAAGTTAGCACCGGGTCTCGAAATGCTGCTTTCGGTTGCACAGCCAGGCTTTTACGGTAAACCTGCAGAGAGTATGTATATACCGTGATCTTCACTATGGTTTAGCTCGCCCACAGGTGCGGAATATCTGCCCACTCGACGTTGCTGTAACCCACTATCTCGATAGACGCTATCTTAACTCTCTCCGACGTGTACAAATCTATCGATACAATAATTTACACCGAGCGCCGTTGCTGGATTCGATGTACATATTCTACTTCGGAGCTGTTCCGAGATGCACCGAATTACCACGGGATATAGGCCGGCACGAAGTCTCTGGATGCAGGGTAAAGTTTGAGAGACGCTGTTGGCGCGTTAACGATGTCCGTCGTAAAACGATGGGAAGAGAGGTCGGCAGAGGCGTCGGGGACGGGGGAATTAGCGACGGTCAATTAGGTCGCCGTTAATTCGGTGTACGCGGCGCGTACGCGCCTACGTCCGGGCATATGCGAAGGCGGATCTGCATTTCGTGTTCCCATGCAGCCTATCCCCGATTTCACATGTGTCCCGTGGACGAGGGAAACCTCGTGCTAGCCTGAGAAGATTCGGCAAACTCGACGTTCGTTCAACGACCCTCCCCCTGGTTAATTACGATCTCGGGGAACGTAGGAGACGTGCGGATCGATATCTCGGGAATCGACGGCGAGACGTCTAGGTTGATAGATGGTCGACTGAAAACAAATTCCGACCACTTCTATAAATACCAGATATGCCTGTGGACAGTTGGCGTTCACGCTACAATCACTCGACGTTTCTCCGGCAGCCGCCTCTCGATGGAACTTGCACTCCAATATTTGACTGCCGTCGCAACTTTTTATCGCCGAATCCCCGTACTTTCGGTATGAAAAAAAAAAAAAAAGGAAAGAAGAAGCTTGTCTACAATGTTTGAACGCCGACACGGTACACTCGTACCGAATAAAAAGCGAGTTACGTCAACTGAGGAATACATCGAATATCGTTAGCGGAGGTTAAAACTAACGGGTGTTTCCGGCAGAAGTTTCTAGCACGGGGCCCGAGGAATATTATACCGACGGCACTCCCGCGGCTAGGCGCTTTCGAATTAATTGCAACGTGAATGAACCAAGTCGAGCTTACTGAATGGACCAATCAGAGCTCCATTTCTGCACTGCTTCGACGACGATCCCCGTCTGCGCTCGTTAGTCAATTAAACTTGGTAATTATAGCTCGTACGGAGGTTCGGAGGGACTCTGGCGGAGGCATCTGACGCATGACTCACCGCGGATGTTGCGAACTCCTCGATATTTTACCTACGCGTACTCTCGCGTGTATTCCATATGCCAACAGCATCGTCTCCCTTCTGCTCGCTTCTCTATTCCCGATCGGCTCGAAATTAAATCCGTATTCCGTTCAGTCACTGTTCGTTCGTGTCTGCTGATATCATACGTGATAAGAGGGCATTGTCTCTTGAATCAAATTGCAGAGCGTCTGGCTTTCGCGATAACGCGGCTCGTGTGCATTTATTGACATTGCGATTATCAACGGTTGCGTAAAATAAAAGAAAGAAAAAGCGATACCTCGTGATACCGTTTTGAAAGCCCCGTGCATAACATACGTCTAATCTGCGGGAATGAGATTCAGCAGAAATGGCTTCACGCGTCCAATTCTACGATTCTCCGAGCCGTTTTCCAGGGACGGTTCAGCCGCGCTCAGCGGATTAATTTGCGCTGGAGCAACACGAGCGTGAAATCGATTTATTGCCAGACCCGTTCCCCTATCTATCGACCTGCCTGCACTCGTGGCTTCACCTTCGACTCCGGTGCGTCTCTTCTCCCGGCGCCGATCCTTTCGCGAGCAGAATTTCAATCCTCCCTTTCTCCCCTCCTCCTAGCCCCTTTAAATTCAGTAATTCCACTGTTTCGGAAGGGAGAGTTGTCGAAACGATACCCGGGGTAATCCTCTTTGCGGACTTTTTGCCGTGTACTGGAAATCCCGTGCAACGTTCTCCGGTTCGTTTTTACTCGCGTTATCCCGTCGATACTGCAATCGGTACCTCTTCGTTACTATTGCCTCGTACTCCTTCCTTCCTTCCTTCCTTTTTTCCCCTGTTTCTTCCTCCGGAAAGGAAGTTCCTCTGTGCGAAAGCTTTTCGATTCCTTCTATGGTTTCGATCCCCTCGGTTGGAAGCGCGGTATTACACGGTAGAGCGGACGCAGCGTACGGAGGATTTCAAAGCCCAACATTTACGTGCGCGTCCAACCATTTCCACCGTATTTGAATTTTTTCCTCCCTTCATCGTATCGATTCGCGTTCGGCAAAGCTTCCTGTTGGCTGATCTTCAAACGCACCTGAAATAATTATTCCTTCCGTCGAATATTCATTTCCGTTTGATCCGCGTGTCCCTTCTCCACGCTACCGAGTAATACTTTCGTGTTTCGTAGTAGACAGGTAGAAAGCGTATTCATTTAAAAATGTTCCTTCTTTATCGCGTTAGATTCCTGTACTTTTGTTTCTTCGGTTTATTGAAACGCGAGAGGGAATTGCAGCCCCTCTGGACTGTAAACCCGGA